ATTTAGCAGAGTCATTTAAATACATCTGGAGGGGATGTTTAAACTGGTCAGTCCCAACCTCAGTCAAATTTAACTAGTTTTGATATAGACAGTTGACTAGACTGTCTACATAAAATTAGCTGTTGCATGACTGAGTTGACAGCTAAAAATGAACTGCTCATTCTATCACCACTACATATTTTTTGTGTGTATTTCCAACAAGTATTGAGGTCAACTCCAGTTCACCTAGAAGATTAGAATGAATCCTTTGACAAATATAAATATCCACAACAAAGGCCACACAAGTCTGGCCAGTTGTTGGTAAACTGCTCATCTCTGGACCAGACTGACAGCCATAATATAAATGCAGCATGTGCAGCATGGAGATACACACCATAAATATAGATGTCCTTGCTCCTGCAGATGACCTTTGTCCCTCACATGACAAACCAAACTGTCATCATTGCAAACTAGCATGAAACCAGATCAAGGGGTCCTCGAACACAGCAGCAGCACTTTGCGATCTCTGAGACTCCTCTGTGACTGTGATGTGTGAAATGAGCTGGTCAGTCTGATTTCTAAGTTTCAGCCTGAGCAGCAGGAGTGGAGCACACCTACTTTATGTGGTTTCACCCTTACTGAATTAAATCTTAGCAGACACCAATGCATTTGTGTGTGAAGAGTAACTGGAGCGTCCAACCTGCATGTTCTCCTTCATGAACTTGGTCTTGAGAATCTCTGCAGCCGATGGTCTGGATGACGGTTGTTTCTGCAGCATTCTGCCTCAGAAAAACGAACAAACAGCAGCTCAGTGTACAGGGAAACACTGAGGGAAACTGCAAGGCCAGAATTCAAACACACTACATGTTGCATCGGTTTGGGGTTTTAGTGGAAACTGTACAGGTCCAGGGGGTGAAGGAGGCCCCTGGAGCGCCCCTGCAGCATACCCAAAAAAAGAGATGCAAAATGATTCAAGTGAGATGTAAAATGACAAACTACAGGAGTTGCAAAACAACTTGAGAGACACAAAACTACCAAGAGTCACTTTTACACTTGCTCCTATGTAGAGGGGTGGTGGGGCCCGCTGTCTGCTAATCCGTCCATGATGTGAGGACATGGGCACTATGAGGTCAGAGGCTAAGCACCAGCCGTAATTCTGCACATCCTCGGTATGAACGAATCAGTTCCATGTGAGTTGTCTGTAACAGGATAAACCATCAGGGGCTTCACAGTGAAGTCAGCTGGGCTCCTCCTCACCTCTGCATGACTGAGTTCAGGTCCGGAGTGTATGCAGCAGGCAGCGCCGGGCTTTCTCCCTCCACGATCTTCATCACCACAGACAGGAAGCTTGGACCCTGGAAGGCATGGGTCAAACAGCACATCTCATAGAGGAGGCAGCCCAGGGCCCTGCCGCACAACACAGGTACCAAAGGACTTCATCACCACTTTCATAACAGTGTAGCGATGACATGAATCTGCAAGAAGAACTGATCGGGTTAGGAGCATTACAAAGTATTGGTGTGGTCGCCTCATCCTTCACTCTGTCGATCCAGCTTCTGTACTCTGTTTCCTGTTTAATCATCCCTCAGTGACATGACTTGATCTCAGAGAAAGCGTCTGATTTGTTGTCCTGTCAGGACACTCTCATTTCTGTTTCAATCTGCTCCTCCCCTCTCAGGGACACAGCAGAAATCAGACTTGTCTCATCAGACTCTCAGATGTTCCACCAAGGTGGAAGAAACATCTGCAGAAAACATGACTTCGAACTCATATGCATGAATCTACAGGAGGGTTCAGTCCCTTTGCCTGTAAAATCAGTGACTCTTCCACTGTAGAAAGTACAAGTCACTGAGTCCAGTTCTGAGACTGGTCAACTGACTACTGATGGCAACCTGCAACTGATGAATTTGCTTTCCTTCCTGCAACAACAACAACTAAACAAACAGCCCATCTATCCTCCCTCTGTATGTGTCAACAGGTCCAATACCCGAGTGGAACAGGATGGACCTAAGCGCATGTGGAATCAGGTGTGTTCTGACGTGAGAGGAGAAAAGAAGTGTGAACACCAGAGCTCCCTGCAATGACCAGAAAGGGACACAAACCGACCACCAAGAAACACAAGAGACACGAAGAAACCACAACGAAATGCAAACCAACCACTAAAGTGCAGAATAACCAACAAACTCTACCTGATATTTCATGTTATTTGCTGTTATTTCTTCATGCTCTCTAGAAGAATCATATGTATGTTTTGCAGCTGACATTCAGTCACATCTGAATGAGGCTTAGACCCCAGAGACAGAGAGCATCCAGCCTGGTGAAGCTCAAACTGTCTCAGCCTGTTAAACCTTCAAACTAGTGAAATTTCTGGGGAATTAAAACCAAACATAGTTTCAGTTAAATTTATGTCCCATGACTGAGGATCATACCTGTGACAAAACCAATGGCTTTATGTCACTGCTACAAAATAAATAACAAATACAGTAGGATCTTGACAATGAAACATCTGATGGAGAGAAATAAATGTGCCAGACAGCTCTTCTGTGTCCAGACACTATTAAAGTACACGGGGTGACATGTTCCCTCACGACCATGAACATACACTGCTGTACTCTGACTCCATCCTACACTCACCGTCCTGCTGCCACTAGTACTCACTATGGACCAAATGTGGAAGAGTCCCCAACAGATGCACTGCTTCCTCCTGTTTGTTTGCTAGAAACTACAGTGAGCAGCTGTTTCAAGGAACTGCTGAGACTTTTAAAAAAATGAAACATTACATTTGTGAGATGTTTTTAAAGCTCTACATCCTCGGAGCCAGTGGGCTTGGAGCTGAGGGCCACAGACAGTGGAGGGAAGTCAGAACGATCAACGTACTCTTGGATCTGGTGTTTGTGGGATTTGTCATAGAGAATCAAACTACAGAATAACATCGGTGTTACCAGATGTCAGACTTGGAGTCGTAGCCCTGGTGGGTCAGCACCTCTGGACTCATGTAGTACAGAGTCCCAGTGAAGGTGGTGGCCAGGTCACATGATCCCATCAGCAGGCAGGAAACTCCAAAATCACCTGGAAACAGATCGTGGGCCATTACAACCTGATTCTTGTTAGAACAACACAGAGATGTGTCTTGTTAATGAGATTCCTTTATTTTGTGCACTAATGAGAAAGTTGCAGCAAACTGGAGTAGGAATAATGTGATGTCTCGTAACAGCAGGAAAAGTGTGAAGAGATTTCATGGTAAAAACAAGCAAATATTTTGGTAGCACATCACCAACTCTTCCTAATTATAATCAGTAACACGGTTTCTAACTGCAGCTGTAATCAGATTTTAGCGTGATGAATGCATTAGTGAACAGCTAAGTCGTCTGTGGGCACAGAGGTGGAGGAAGAGGAGCAGTGCAGAAACACATCAACAATGACAATATGCAGGATGGAATTATAAAACACTAAGTCTTCATAGGAGAAGTTGGAACAGTTGCGGGGGGACTAAGGGTGTTAACAGTTCTTCTTTGTCTGCAATACCTTATTATACTGTACATTATATGGTTTATACACAGTAATAGCTATTCACATTTTTGCTGTGCTGGGCAAAGCAACACTGGAGTAGATATTTGGAAAATGTGACCTGTGCGAGATGCAAGTCGAAACAGATCAGGACTCATCAACTGCAAACATTAAAATCCACAGGAGGTGTCAGACCGTCTGAGTCAGGTGGAGGGAGACACATATTCACAGTTTACCAACATGTAGCTTGTCTCCCTGCTGTGCATCTCTGCTCTGTGTGTACAGCTGGTGATCAGCAAACTAAAAGCTGCCAGCAGAGAGTTTTGGTTCAAGTCCAAAACTGCAGACGGCAGCAGCAACAACAATCTGCTCAGTTCACACTCAAGCTCAATCTGGTGAAGAGGAGCTCGGCTCTTTCCTGCCGGAATGTGTGCTCCTCATTAACTGGAGGTTTATGTTCATTGTTGTTAATGCGAAGGATGTGACAGTATGTTGAGTAAGATTTCAAACAAACACAAACAAAGTCCCATGAGCCCTTGCAGCAGAGGAAACTCACCAATTTTAACAAGGTTTCGTTTCAGAAAGATGTTCTTGGACTTCAGATCTCTGTGGAGGATCCGCCTGCAGAAACCAGCGCAGCAGTCAAAGAAATGTGAATAAATAAAAAAAATAAAAAATTATTGTTTGATTGATTTATCATGTGATGTGGAGCTGTTGGACAGTCAGACTGGATGACCTTTGACCTCCAACCAGCTACTGTAACACTCTGAGGGTGGACAAAAGAAAAAAGAAAAAACCTGAGGCAGGGGAGGAGTGCATGTTGGCATGGCAAACGTATCCCCACCTGTCATGCATGTAGTGAAGGCCGAGCAGCAGCTGGATGAGCCAGTCGATGACCTGGATTTCGGGGAGGCTTCTCCCAGCTCGTCTAAACTCCTCCAGTTTACAGTCCAGATCCCGGTCCTGGGGGGTGGAGGTGGGCGGTTATAGGTGTGAAACTGGCCTACAGGATCTGGCCTGTCCCCCTTTCATTCAAACCAACCAGCGGTGGAAACTACAAACCTACATTTGTTGTACTGGCTGCCCTGTATTTACCTGACAGATACAATACTGTCGTTATCAGTTAAGACTTTTACAGTACGAAGAGTTTATCAGCACCGTGCTTTGTTGGACATCAAACTGCCCAACAGTGACAAAACAGGTTGAACTGAGATGACTTGTTATTTTTGACCCACAGTGAAAACAATCATTAGTTAGTCCCATGTAAAAACATACAAAACAGCTAAAATCAGCTCCGGTGTTATAACAGTCACAGGTCTTTTGTTTGCACTGAGTACTCCGACTACTGACTACTTTTACTTGTAGCAGCAGCTGACATTGCCAGGGTGATCAAGAATCCGACTTATTACGACCTGCACAGCTGCTCACCAGCATGGCCGCATCACCCAGGTCGTCCTTATTCTTAATCTGAGCCACAGGCCTCTGGCTGGATCAGTGAGCACAGCACCAGACTGAATCTAAGAGCAGACCTGGACAAAGCTGGAACAAACTCGTGAAACACAACAATGAGTCAGCATACAGGGAGGAAGTCAGACTACTGACGTCATGGTGCAACGACAACAGTCTGTCTCTTAACATCAACAAAACGAAGGTGAGTACTGTGCACTTCAGAAAGTCCCAACCAGTTCACAGTCCTCTACAGATAGACAGCTCTTTGGTAGAACATGAACCAGACACAACATTTCTCAGCGCACAAATTACAAAGGATCTAACCACATCACATCACAAAAAGCCCAGCAACACCTCTACTTCCTGTGATGACTGAAGAAAGTAACCCCCACCACATGCTCTCACCACCTCCTACATAGAGAGAGTGCTATGGAAACTGTGCCTCTGCTGATTGGAAAAGAGAGGAGAGGATCACAGGCTCCATTCTTCCATCACTGGACGACACCTTTACCGACAGAAGGCACTAGGCATCACTTAGAGAGATACCACGGTATCAGAGCCTGCTCATCCAGACCATGTAGCACCTCTTCCACAGGCTGTCAGGCTAAACAGTAAGGCTCCCTGAACTTCAGACAGTAAAAGCCGTAAATTCTGGCTGCTCGTCCTTCAAGACATAACACTTTTTACTGGGGTGTTGTTCCTAGACAGTTTATCTGTTTTTATATTTACCATAGATCTTATCCTTACCAGAATTCTTGAAGTAAGGAGATTTGGTTTCACTGTGTACTTCGTACATGGATGAAATGACAGTAAAGGTTGAGCCTTCTTGTGTTTGTGCACAGCACTTTGCAGTATCCCTTTAAAAGCATCTTAGAGCTTCTTTCTTTTGGCACTTTGTTTTTCTTCATACTTACAGCCAGACCTGACTCCTCTGTTCAGTTTAATAACCTGCAGTGTGCCCCACAACTCTGAAGGGGATTGTGGGTAATGGTCTGACTATAAACAAAAGCTCTGAGGGGTCTCTGAGTGCACACATGTTTTTACCCAAGAGACTTTCTGAATGTCTATGAGAAATCAGTGTTTGCTGTAATTTAATGGTCAGACACCACCCAGCGACGTGTCTGATGCTCTGTGGATTGTTCTGCAGGAGGGAGAGGGGGAGTTAACGCTTCAGAGTCTAAGCGATGGGTGGGGTGAAGGGGAACAGAGCAGCAGCAGGGGGAGGAGAGCTGGATAATGAGGGGGGACCACCGCCAGATGACGTGGTTGATGAGAAGAGAGGGGGAGAGGAGCACAAGGCTGGAGATGGAGGCAGGGAGAGATTCATTAGTGGAGAGGAGTTGCTGAAGACCTGACTTGTTGTAATCTAGACAGCAGCCGGGGGGGCGGGGAGGTCCAGTTTCATCACGGCTTCATTTTCTCTTGAGGTGAAGAAATGAGGTTAAAGCAGCAGCAGTGAGCAGAGAGGCAGCGTGCACTACTCTCATACCCACAGACTTACTCTTGCAGTGAAGGTAACCCTTACTCCTCTCTCTGAGACGAGCTAATGAGACACTCGTGTGTTTCTGCACATTAATACGCCCCTCTAGGAGCATCCTCATGCTTCTCTCTGCATGCACTTACTATGTAAAAACAACTGAGCCATTGTTATTATTACTGCAGTGTAAAATGGCTGCCACGATGTCATGCTGGCAATAAATCCAGACTGAAGTAAAAAAAACAAACATCATTATAGAAAATATGACATTTAAAAGCTTAAGTACCATTTCCTCAGGCTGCACATGTTTTTAATGACACCTGTAGTCAGATGTTTCATATTTACATTTTATGTCACATTATTATAAATCAAAATAAAATAAACATAACCAAGATGAGGAAGGCTCTTTAGACTGAGAAGTGCACATCTGCCTGTAATGACTAGGTGACTAAACGGTGGAGTCTCCTCTAGTTTACTTTTCACTTTTCCAACCAATGCTGAACTGAGCCGACTCACATTTCAGGGTGAAGGGGGACATGACTTTCTAAGCAGAACGATGTCCCGAGCACTGTACTGCTGTTACCTGGCAGTACTCGGTGATGATGCAGAAGGCGTCTCTCTCCAGGAAGCTGTGGTAGAAGGTGAGGATGGCTGGGTGGTGCAGCTGAGACAGCAGCTGGGCTTCCTGCGCAGCTTGGACTGTCTCATCGGGCCGAAGGTTGCCCAGAGGAATCTGCTTCAACACCTTCCTGCAGGACACAGAGGGCAGAGGTTAAGGAGGGCGGCGAGACCAGTGAGGGTTCCCACAGCTATGTTCTGTGTGTCAGCATGGCCTAAGAAAGTTAAACAGTGTTAACGGTTTAGTTCAAGGTACAACTGTATCACCATATGAACTCTGTCCTGGTGGCTGATACTTCTGTGATCCATCACATTACATGGACTCAGATGATGTGTCTGTTGTGGGGGTCCACAGCTGTTTCATCAGTGCCACTGTCTCACCACTTCGGGGGATATTTACTAAACCTGCCACAAATCACCCTCAGGTGCACAAAATATTGTGGCACTGGCAGATTTCCAGTTTACCAACACTAATGAAGTAACTGAGCACAGTCGCAGCTGTGCTCATGTGGATGCACTTCCGCTTATATGAACCTGGTGCCTGTACTACACACGTGACCGAGATATAGCTGAGAATAAATCTGTGTTCTCCACTCCCTTATTGTGCATCCATGAATGGAACAAATTAAAAAACATACTGCATGAGACCAAATGCCAACTTCCTGTGGTGCTGCTTTTCTTCTTTCTCTCTGCCACAAACCAGACTGGGACTCCTTGATAAAAAAAAAAAAAAAAAAACTCCTGCAGTTTCACTGTTTAGTGCCAAAAAATGGGCCTCAGAACCTCAGTCAATATGTCGCTTTGTGTTCTGGCACTTTGAGGAACCAGGTCACCAGCGTGAGCTGACAGAGGGTAGCCGTCTGTTCGACGAGTCCACAGCCTGGCAGCAGTTCCCAGTCTGTTCACTGCTTTGATTCTTTGTTGAAACCAAAGAGCTGCTGGAAAATCTAATTTACAGCCTGAATTAATAATCTACAGCTAAAAAATCCATTTCATCCACTTCATTCACTCCTCCCTGAGAGGCGCTTTCTTTTTTACTTTGCAGCGAGAAGCTCTTCACCCAGCCAGGAGTGCCGACTCTGTTGCTGAGCAACCGCAGCGACAGTCTGTTTGGAGTGTGACTGATTAAAGCCGAGAAGTTCCTGAGAGCAGAAACACACAAGCTGGGCCGTCAACAGCTCAGAGTGAGCTGGAAACCTGCACACACGGAGCATCGTGTCCCACAGCAGGAGACTCCTGGCTGCTGGAGGTCAAGCCCGACGAGCCCGGCAGAAGAACCAGAACACGCAGACAGAAAGAAGACACAGCTCCTACAGCATGTGAACATGTGATGTCTGCCCAGTATTAGAGGTTTTGGCTTGGTGTTACATGCTGTGGTCTGGAGGCCATGAATGCAGCCAATGAGTGAAGATGGAACATGCTCTGGTATCCAACAACTCGTACCACACGTTATTCCATGTTCATGGCTACACGAACATAAGATTGTCATCAATAAGATTGTTTGAGTGGAGTTTTTTGAAGGAAAGTGTTTGTGAACGGACATTTCAGCTCTCATGACCAGACTACGAACCTTCAGGTGTGCAGCTCTACTCCTCTAACATTGTCCTGACAGGAACATGTGACAGCTCAGCAGTGCTGTCGCAGGTGATGGCAGAAGATGAACAAACTCAGCTGTTCTGCTGGTCCCACTCTAAAATATCGGCGCATTAAAAAGTCGCAATTATCTATAAGCTGAAACTGACAAAAATATTTGGTCTCCACAATTCAACAACTGAAATAAATTGCAATAAAGAGAAATGACAATGACTGGCAGCCTACTGTAGACTTCATATTTGGTGTCAAGACCTTTGGAGGAAACACCTGCTGTCAGGTGCTTCCTACAGACTTTGATAGGATTCCTGCACCACTCCACTGGCAGACTGGCCCACTGCTCCCTCAGACATGAAGGGGGCCTTCTTCCACCAGTTCGTCTCTCCACAGGCGCTCTGCTGACTTCCTGGTTCTGCGCTCAAATTCAATCTTCAAACAAAACAACACATTAGACATTGTAAGATACAGACGGTCCCAGATTAGAGGAGCCTCCTGACTGACTAAGTGGAAATCCAAACAGCAGGGTCACTGATCAATCAGCTGATCATTGTCCTGATGATCTTTTTATTCCCTAGGTCACTGAATGGTTTCATGAGGACGACACAGGGGTTTGGACACAGCAAGGGGATCTGGTTTGGAAGGAGGATGTTTCCTACCTCCAGCAGAGGAGGCACGGCCTTGACAAGGCTCTGGGTGGTGGTCTGTCCTTTCAGCTGTCACCTAGTTGTATTTGGCCTTACTAACCTTGTAACAAAATGATCACCCCTGATAAATGAATTCTGCTCTGAATCCTTTGAGCTGCACTCACTTGTCTGTCAGGCAAACATGAGGATGACCAGACAGCTGCACTGAAACCAGCAGGCTTCATTGAACAACCAAAATAAGGGGAAGCAAACTATCTGCGCCTCTCTCAGCACACCGTCCCTGCCCCCCTCTGACTTGAACACCAATTATAGAATAGATGGGGAGGTGGGGGAGCTGGTGAGGTGAAGACGTTTGTCTCAGTGTTGAAATTGTTCTGGGAGACAGACAAAACCAAATTAGAACTTTCTGGTAAATTTCAACTAGTGTGTTTGTAAAAAATTCAATTTTCAAACAAAACAACACATTAGACATTGTAAGATACAGACGGTCCCAGATTAGAGGAGCCTCCTGACTGAGTAAGTGGAAATCCAAACAGCAGGGTCACTGATCAATCAGCTGATCATTGTCCTGATGATCTTTTTATTCCCTAGGTCACTGAATGGTTTCATGAGGACGACACAGGGGTTTGGACACAGCAAGGGGATCTGGTTTGGAAGGAGGATGTTTCCTCCCTCCAGCAGAGGAGGCACGGCCTTGACAAGGCTCTGGGTGGTGGTCTGTCCTTTCAGCTGTCACCTAGTTGTATTTGGCCTTACTAACCTTGTAACAAAATGATCACCCCTGATAAATGAATTCTGCTCTGAATCCTTTGAGCTGCACTCACTTGTCTGTCAGGCAAACATGAGGATGACCAGACAGCTGCACTGAAACCAGCAGGCTTCATTGAACAACCAAAATAAGGGGAAGCAAACTATCTGCGCCTCTCTCAGCACACCGTCCCTGCCCCCCTCTGACTTGAACACCAATTATAGAATAGATGGGGAGGTGGGGGAGCTGGTGAGGTGAAGACGTTTGTCTCAGTGTGTCCCTAAGGCTTGGTGTCTCAGCAGGAGTCCAGCTCTGTAGTCTCACTGAGATTTCTGTCACTGGTGGCTCCGCACAACTTGTGTTGTTTATTGAGGAGTAGATCTGCCTAAAAGCTGAGCACGAAGTGAATATACCAGCCCGCCACCCTGACACAACACACAGTGGGATGTGAGGGTGTCAGCAGGGTGGGCGGGGACGAGCGGCAGTGATCAATCACTCAGCAGCGTGCTTACACAGTTGGTGACAAGTTCACACGAAACGCTCACATCCAGCTCTGAGTGGATTTTCTGAAGGGTGCAAAATGTTTGAGGCTCTGAGGTCTCCCCCTGGGGGAGCCAAGCTGGAAATCTAAGTGCACAAGTATAAAAAGGGGAGGGATATTGTGGTTTAGTGTCATTAAACTTTATGAGCCAGGTCCAGTAAAACACTGACCACTTTCTACTGTTACTTAAATGTAGGGACAGTGGAGGAAAACAAGACCATGAAGAAGGGAGAGGAGAAATAAATGATACTGGTTTTGTATTTTTGTCAGTACTGGTTGTAGTACTGGAGAAAATATTGCAGACATGCTGTTACACAAAATACTTGGGAAGACAGTTTAAAACACAGCATAGTTCAAAGTATGATGGAGGAGAATAGACAGAACCAACAGGGGCCAGTACCACGAGGAGCTCTAACACAGCACACACAGCCCACTTACTTGGATAGTCTATGGGAACCAGTGGGAGCCAAAGACACATTTTGTTTTGCACTAGACAACAAACTTTTTCTGATGATCAAGGATAACGATAAGGATAATCACCTTTACTGGCCAAGTATGTTACATAAAAGGAATTTGTTTCTGGTACATCTGCGGCGCCAACTCAACCGCTAGCTCTAACCATCGGTGGTTCAGTGTCTTGTCCAAGGAAACTTCGATATGTGGACTGCAGGCACCGAGATTCGAACCTTCAACCTTCCGGTTGGGAGACGACTGCTCTACCCACCACACAAATGTCACCTCCCAAAAGCATACTGCATTGGACAGGAATCAAACCCAGGCCTCCCGCATGGCAGGCGAGAATTCTACCACTGAACCACCAATGCTCATATCTAAAACCTAAAACAGATTTATGAAGAATTACACTGCAGATGTGTTCCTGGCTGCCCATGAAAACGTGCGTTTGGCTTGTGGATGGCTGACATTTACAATGCCGGTGTTAACCCACCTCTGCCGAAGCTAAGCCACGATTGGCCTGACTAATGGGAAGCAAAGAAGCCTACTGTAAAAAAAAAGTTTCCTACGATATTTAATGACTGAATTGCAACATCAGCTTTAAACAAATCAACAAATTATGTCCCAGCAGGCTTTGCAACAGCTGCAGTCTGCATCTTTGTTCAGTGTGCAGTTAAAAACAGAAAGGCCAGGTGCACACAGGTCGACAAAGGTCGGGTAGCCTCAGAGGAGTCGCTTCACTGACACTTGCTCACATGTCTGTGCACAGCTCATTTAGATTAGGGATGTTTAGTTATGTAACTGCTGACAAGGCAAACATGGCCAAAAGTATGTGGACAGGTGAAGACTCCAGCCAGTGTAACATGATTCTGCTAGAACAATCACGAGTCTGACATTTTATTGACTGAACAATCAATTATTAAAAAACTTTATTGATAAAGAAGATAACTGTTGCAGCCCTGTAGTTCTGTGTGATTGAAAATCCCATGCCGAGGGTTTCTGTCTGTTCATGCTCGAAAACTGAAGCAGTACAAAACACTTCACAACAAATGAGCGCAGTATGAACTGAAATGGTTCAGGGACAGTATTTATCAGACGTCACAGAGAAGGAACGCACTTCTAATATTCTGCTCCTGCTTTTAGGAGTAAAGGTCA